ATTTGGACTCGAAAGGACAGGAAGGACGCTACCGTTGGGGAACCTTTGGTTTGCTGGTTTCGGGAGCTTCTGATACACTTCGGGTTTCAGTATCTGTCCCAGCGCTTTCCTCTCCTGGAGCTGCAGCTTTCTTTTTGAGATCATCTGACGGTACTGCAGAATCGACGATGGGCCAGACAAATCCTGTTCGAGGAATGTAGTCCGGCCGCCGACTTCGCAGAACATCCAACGAGGCCTGCAGAGAGCAAACTGATGTTAGCTGGGCAGCGGCAAACAATCAATTCCAGCTCTTCAAGGCAAAGTAAATCGTACAAGCCGATTGGAGAGGACGGTGTAGACATCGGGGGATTGATATATCCTGTTATTCATGATGAAATAGGCAGCCAACGGGCGAACTTGCTGTCATTTTAGAAAACTGGTTTAAAAGTCGAAGGAACGGGGCGCGCAGTGGCCCAGGAATACCTTCGTCGGGAGAAAGCCGCTCGCGCTTGTGGATTATAAACATTGAGGGCGGTTGGGAGTGGACGACGGCGAATTCAACCCCAGTGAATCGTCTGTTGTGGTGGGTCAGTGTCTGAAAGTTGAAGCCAGTGGCCATGGCAAGGCATGCTTGCCTGAGTTCCTCGGCTTCATTCGCAATCGCTGTTCCGGTATGCATTGTCTGCATGCGCAAGACTTGATTGTTACTTTGCTTGTCGTAGAACATGGACGTCGTAAAGTATTCAAACACATTTTCACTCGTTAGTGGTCCGTTCGCCTATTGACTTGAGCAATGTTTAGAATAATGAGATAAGAGCGGCACCTGAATCCATTCGTGCCAGATGAAGAACCGGTGGCTATAGTCATCCGGAGGATGCAGGTCGCTAACGTCCATTGGTTAGTGGTTTGACGCGTCGAAGGCTCCGGAAAGCGCGTTGTGGATGTTCGGTTCGTTAGTAGTGTCACATCAAGTGACGAAGTATCAACTTCCTATTCGAGCCAAATGGACTTGGAAGGCTTGTTTCTGTTCTAGTGAACTTGATTGGCCGAAGGCCGTCTCGAGTAAAAGAGAGAAAGAAAAGATTTGATTCGAGTCAAGTAGAGTAGAGATACGGTGTACAAGCTTTGTATTTCCAGAAATTAGGTCTCCAGCACCACCATATATAAATGTAGTCAAGAAAGGCAAGTAAAGGATAGCGAGGTTGAAGAATATAAAGGAAATAAGACAGCATTAAAATTGTCGAGCGAACCCGCCCGAACATAAACAGAAATTCATATCGAGATCACGTTCGTCGCGGGGCCAAGCACATAGACAGGGCGGTACGATACGTGACACATCGAATGACGCAGGAAGGGACACAACAGAGATCTGGGTTGAGCCAAAAGGGCACAAGCGAACCAGATAACTGCGGAGCCGGCGGAATAATAGTGACGTAAGCCTGTATACGAGTCAGTAACTGCGGAAGACGTGTTCGGCGCGAGACTGACACGAAAGAAGTAACACAAAGAGGAAGCAGTTGATTCAGGTGCAGTCGCAGTCGACTGCGTGGCCGACGAGACCCTTTCCGCAGCGGTCACACCAGCGGCGCGCTCCCTGTTCCACACCGATGGATTTTTTCGAATCCGCGGAGTGGTGAGATGAGCAAACGGAGTCCTCGCGTTGGGACTCGTCGCGATGGATACTGATGAGGTGACGCCCAAGGTCGTGTTTACGACTGAACGAGCGACCACAGGAGCGGTGGGGGCAAACATGGGGCTTCAGTCTGTTGGGGTCGTGTGTAGCCATGTGCGTTTTGAGATTGTACGCTCTGGCGAATGCTGCAAGAGACCAGAGCAGTGAGCATGTGAGCAGTGGATGAGATGCACAATGTAATTACCTCGCGGACACGCAGAGCACCTGTATTTCTTGCGGGCATCGCCCTTGTAATCTTCTTCCTCGGGAACGTGAGCCATTTGGCCAGCTGGAATGGTGGGTAGTTGGGTGGATAGATGCGAGGGGGAGACGGTTGGACCGGCGAGAGTATCGAAATTAAGTTGACTGTACAAGTCAATAGGAATGGTGGGGCGGCGAGTGGAGGGACCGTAATCTGAGAATGTGGCACGGGAATTGTAGGCTTTTGTATACGGCTTAGTGCTGCGGGCCGTATCAGGCGCCGCGCTGGTGCCAAAGGATACTGCTGCGGCATCAGAGCTGGCCTGAGCTGCGGCGTATTCTGATGTGGCAGCTTCCACGCGAATCCTTTGGAAGTCCATCTCTAGGTCAAGAGGGAAGGAGTAGTTGGAGGGAGGTTGAGGGGAATGAGGGTAGTTATAGAAGGACTCGGAATAGGACGAAAGGGAATCATAAGCTGACTCCGAAGAGGCAGTTATGTTGGAAGGAGGGCCCCTTGTAGGCGTGTCGGACCTGAGGTAAGAGTAGGCGTCTCTGGAGTCGAATGTAAATAGCTGGAGATCGGCCTCGTCGATTCCCTCGAGATTGCTGTCTACTTCGAGCTCGAAGAGATCTGGATGAGGTGCGAGGATATCAGAGGGGTTCTGAAACGACGCAAAATCCTCGAGCGTCTTGTTGTAATCCGCCGTAAAGTCATCAAAGACGGAGCCGGGAGGATACTGCGTGCCCTGAGGAACAGACATGGTGCTGGATTAATATGAGCGAGTCAGAGATTGAGGTAGAGGGAGAGAGCGACACACAGCCTTGCGCTGCTGATCGTTGTTGGCATCATCAAAATATCGGCCTTGAATTGCCGCCGAGTCGCCTGATTAGGAATCTACTCGACGAATTACTTTACTGCTGGTCAGCTCAGTGCTCCCAACGAGCCCACATGTCCAGCCCTCCATTGTTTTCTCCTCCTTTGTCTCACTGCTGGCTGTGATCAACGCCGTGTCTCCACTGCTTGATCGTAAACATTTCGCAGATGTACGTGGCTGCGTCGTGTTCACAGACACGTCTGTGGGTCATTCCACAACGAGCGACGGGCACCATTTTGGTTTTGGGGTGGCTTGTCATCTCCGCCCAATGGGATTCAATTAATACTCTCGGACTTGAATAACTGTCTTAAGCGTCGGCATAAAGCATCTTTGTGTTACAATCAGCTAATTCAATCAGAATCGGCACTCTAGCGGCTTCCACAAATACCTGTCTGTTCCACAAAGTCGATTCCTCTTTGCATCTTTTGAAACCTTCTCGGTCTCCTTGAGCTCGCACTGAAACCGGACGGATAGGCATTCTCAGAGCAGTTTGCAAAGTGTCCCTCTCCACCGTCGTCCAAACCACCGAGGTGCAGGAGATGTTGAGCAGCCAATTTCGCCAGTTTGTGTAAGCAAGTGCAGCAAGTAGAGCGGGACAATGACGAACGGAGTTCCATCCCAATCACTGCGCGGTGAGTCGTTTTCAGACCTTTTATACTTCGTCGCACTAAAACACGACCGACAGAAAACTTGAAGCCATCATCCACACCTCAGAGTCGCTGGCAAAGATGACGCTCTCCACCGTCTCGGCTGGTCCTGCCGATGCCTTCAGAGAACTGAACGAAGAAATGGTCAGGATAGAGAGGTAACCGCGGGAACGGTTCAGCGCCGGCTGGAGTACGCGCTATCAGAGTCTTATCCGAAAGTTGATCACACTCGAGCCACGCACAGGAGCGGACCTTATTTGTGATAGAGAGGAGTGAGGTCATCCGGTCTCGGGTCAGAAAAAAGCAGTGCATGGGTTCGTTGAAGGTTTTATTGGTCATGTTGCGTTTTCTTGGCTGACTTTTGTTTTGTCTAGGGTCGGTGTTTGATTTGTATCTATGGTCGTCGATATTGCTTTCGTTATTTCTGTATTTTGTATACCATGTGTAATTCATTTGCGACTTTGTGAAGGTGGAGCGACCGTGTGGATTGCTTTGGAACGAGCTATTCAAAACTCGGCGCATTTTTGGATCTGCTGAAGGTCCCGGCTCGACAGTTGATGCTTCAGACATGCCACGTGCACGGACGGATAGAATGTTTGTGGGGCTACTTGCTGAAGAACAACCGAGGGTACTGGTTCTTTCTCAGGTCTTTTTAAATCGTTACAATTCAAAATTGACGATCACTTGGTCGACGCGCGGACCACGAGCTGCGAACATCGGGCGACGAAGGTCTCTGTATCTTTGGTTAGATGAGGTTCCTGCCGCTGGTGGTCGATGGACATGGCTCAGAGCACAAAGATGCATCGTGCACATTGTTTCGAAGGGTACATTTGTCTCACTGCTAACCTTGTATTTGGTCTCTGAGTCTTCACTTCCCTTGGATTTGACCTTTCCATTTCCCTTGTTTCAAAATTCCACCCACTATCCCCCTCAAGATCCAGCCCCGTCACCGCCGATTGACACTTCTGTGTAGTATGTATTATGTACTCAACCACAACAACCACCTCAACCAGCGATCATACGACTCCGTATGGCTTCGAGCAAGCCCAGTTCCAATTCTGGAAGTCAGTCATATATATAGCATGTAACTGAAGGGTATCTGGTCCAAGGGAAGCCAAATCTTAGTCAATCAAAGTTTGGACCAGTGACTCAGAGGTTGCCTAATCGGGTCATTCACCTTCGGCACCCCCAAAAGGCAATTTGTTGGAACTTGATGTGTGGGGCGCGTCTCTTTTTCTATCTCACACTCTTCGATTTTTTCCTCCCCCTTTTTTTCTCCAAAGCTTGTGCGATCATGCATGACCTCAACCAAGTGGTTATGCTCAGACCTAGCGCTCTCCTGTGGAGGGGGGCTGACGCATAAGTATGTCCTCAAAATAATTGCTTCATCAATCTCCGTGGGCTTTTTTGGATATCTGGTATTCTCCAACCCTTGCTATCTGATTCTCGCCCATCCTTACTTGACTTTACAACGAGACATCTGAATTCTCAGCTCGTTGTTCTCCTTCACGCTCTGTTCGAGGGCTCGCATTATTAAACGGTGGCTGTGCTAATTCGATGATTTTTGATCTGTTTCTCCGCTCCATTCTAGCGGGTCCCACACTCACGCGAAGCTCTGCAGTCAACGCCCGCCTAGCTCAATCGGTAGAGCGTCAGACTCTTATGTCCAGGCGGGTTGTATTCCAAACGGAATCTGAAGGCTGCGGGTTCGACCCCCGCGGTGGGCTACTGTTTTTATACTTTTTTATTTTGCCTGAGGTCTAATTTTGTTTTTCGCTCCAAATCCTCTCCTTCGTTACTGGACAACAATGGTTTGCAGCTAATTAATGGTGAGTGTTGATTCCACCAAGGGTCGGACTAGTGACTATCTATCCGATTCGAGCGTGAAGGTTTGGGCAGACCTCAAAAGCTTCAGACAGACGGGGAGTCTAATTTTATCAAAGAGAGAGTGGCTCGAACAGACAGACAGCATGTCATCACCATTGTATTTCACTTTGGACAGTACATCACTACAGATTTCGTGGGTGGTCAAGGTTCATATCCTTGGATTGATGGGCACCCGCGCACGAGAATCCGCAACGATGAGTCGGCCGATGCGAGACAGCCAGCAAAAGGGAGCCACTGGTGCCGCCTGAAATACCATGATTAATAAGAAGCAAAGCCGCGTCCGACACCTATCTCCAGCAATCAAATGATTCAAAGACATGGTTGATTGGCAAAGCCAAATGCTCGCCGGCACCCGTGTATTAAATACACGAGTCGGGGCTTTAAGCGGGCGTCGGATTACTCGAGCGAAGCAACGACGGAGTTCGGTTGCCGTGCGGCCTGACGCAGTGCAGCCCGATGAGGAGGGGGGATAAGTTATGCTGGGGTGGTCCCAAAATTTGGAAAATGCAGTTTAAGGAATTCCAACAAAGAAAGAAAAGAAAAGCCTTTTCCTAGGGTGAATTGCACTAACTATCTATGCCGGGGGCTGTGGTGTGCCCTCAGGCTTGTCAGCGCCCAAAGGATTGGTCTCGAACCAAGATTCCAGGAGCTCTGCATTGGCATTTCGGCCGACAGACTGGATTGCTATAGTATTGAAGGCGGTCGGAAAACTGGAGGAAACGGGGAGCAGAAAATACTGCATGTCGTTTTCTGCAAAATATGATGAATATATACGATTCATCATATTGAGCTACTCACCGAGTCGTAACAGGCATGGCGCCCGAATTTCTAATTTGCGTCGCGGGTTGCTGCCGTCAGGAATCAATCTCGGTTTGAGTAACACTGTTCTTTGCCACGGACCTATCGACATAGTCACCGAGGCGATTGGATACCAGGACTATACGTCCAAGTTGCTCGCGCGACCAATTCGCTGCGAGCACGCTTTCGTATAGGTCCAGATCACAATGAGGCATCTGCGTTCTTCAGTAGGGCGTGTCTTGGACAAGGATGTCTCACCCAGAGTATGGTCGGAGCATCCAAGGTATGCCTACCGTCCTAGAACATGGGTTAGCAGGTAATTCTCATGGGAGGGGAAACTTGCTTTGTTTTCAGAAAGCACACGAAACCCGAGTTGTTCAAATAGTGCATTGTCTTCCTCGGAAAAGACTGGATCATAAATGGAGACATTGTCTAGTTTCTGGCAGAATTCAGAGACAAATATGAATGTACGGCACGACAAGACCTACGATAGCGGTTGACTTGCATATCTCAAGTAAGAAGGCCAGCTGAGCACGAGAGTTTGGCGAAGACGACGGGCTCCCGAGACCCAGACATAAAATTTGCGAAGGACAAAAAGTACGGGCTTCTAAGTGGTCCAGCAATATTTCTACAAAGAGTGTCACCAGATGTTGCGGTTTAGCAGATTAAATGGACCTTGGCATCGGGAATTCCAGTCGTCTTTTGCAAGGTCCTCTCTTGTGCGTTCAACAAGAGCGAGCAGTGATGGCCGTTCCTTGTTTTTCAAGTTCTTCCTTTTCCTCCGTGGTACAACAGGCTTGAACTCTGAGTATTGAAAGGTGTTGTCGGAAATCATGAAGCAAAGCACTTTGGATTAAGGCGCAAATGTTTAACGAGTGTTCGGAATTTCTACGCAAGAGGGAAGAGGTCCGTGCACATCACTAATCTGCTGATTGTTTGTCTCTTCCGCTTACCACCACAACTAAAAAAATGCCCAGCGCTGCTGACGAGGGACAGGACAACTGGGAACCTTCTGAAGATGCTTCCCGGCGTAGCGCTGAACCCTCCAATGAGCCTTTTCCTACCGACGATCATGGTCAGGCTCCGAACGACGCCGTAGACTATCCTCGCGACTCTAGCGTAGGCACTGCGGGAACAAGGGCGTCCATTACCGGGAAAAGCAGATCAACGTGCTTATTCGGTCTTTTATTGCTTCAAGTCTCTTGTAGCTTGGCACATGGCAAGGTCTCCGCTCGCGCTCTGTGACGCCCATGCTGTACTTGCTCTTTTCTTTTGACTCGGGTCCTTGACCACGCCTTCTTCCACATAAGTCGCGACTGAAAAATAATATGAATGGTTGTTTTCAAATAAAACAATGAGATGTTTGCTTTCTGCTGTCCAGGAACAAGGTCTATATCGGTGGTCTTCCCGAACATACGCGCCAGAGGATTCGCAAAGCTGCTTTGATCGGCAACATCAACATGACACTCGAGTATGTGCTCTCGTCACGGTCTGGCTGCTCTTGTCTCAAAGGCACCTTCCAGGATCGGATACGGCTTCGTGGTACGTCTCTGCTCTTTTATGGCGCTCTGCGCTATTTGATTGCTGAGATCGTCCGCCCTCGCCTCCTAGGACGACGGAACTTCAGCGGCTACACTCGCCCCCAAGGATTGACGACTATCCTGCGCGCAACGGTAGAGATGCTATAACGGTGGTGGCGGCGGCGGCGGAAACTTCTCTGACAACGGCTACACTGGCCCCCCAAGGACTCGTGACTATCCTCCGCCTCCTGCGCGCAATGGACGAGATGGGCCTTCTGATACTAGCGGATACAGACGGCCCTGAGTGCGGTCTCAAGCTTTCAAACCCTGGTTCCAAAAAAAATAATTCTACGCTACCAAGGACATTGTAATCTGAAACTTTACTTCTTTCTATTCGATGTCATTCGATATCAGTGCTCAATGCAATATGTGTAGCGATTGTCTGCTGAAATCTTATGCCCCACGACGATAGTGAGAAGATTCTATACGGCGTTTTCCCTGTCTTGAAGCCGGATGCATCTAATGGTGTAGCGTTCGAAATACCAAGGAAAATAATTCGACATTCAGGCAAAGAAACCAAAGTTCAAGAGCATTTTCTACTACAAGTTGTCGAACGAATAACGAAAGACAAACCCACAATTAACGTGCTATTGGTCGACCCGAAGGTCTTAAGCCGGGGGCCCACGACAAGGGTGCACGAGGGTTGCGAACCCACCCCCCGGAAGGCGTCTGCAGACGCGGGCCTCTTGAGGGCTGGAAGAACGCGTCAGAAAATGAATAAAGGCAAAGGAAAAGTGACTCACCCGAAAGATCTTGGAGCTCGCAGTGCGCGGGGCGCGAAATGGCCTGGCGGTCCGAAGGCGCAACCGCGGGCTGAAGGAGCGTGTCAGCAAAGAGTAGGGAATGAGGGAAGGAAAAAACTCACCAGAGGGGGTTGCCAAACCGCCCAAAGGAGGAGACACCGGTGAGGTAGTAACGGTGAGCACTGCTGGCATTTCACCCTTCACCGAAGGCAGAGGGTCTGAAATGGTTGCAACCCCCAGGAGGGAAGCGAAGCGGATCAGACAAGCGCTCTCGACGGCGGCGGACGCGGCGTCTCGACTCCGGGCAGGTTGTTTGGGGACCTGGGGCGAATGAGTAAATGAACAAGAACTTGAAACCAACGCGAAACTCACCCAGGGAAAGCCGGGGGCCCGCTTCGTGCTCGACATTGAGGCAATTGCGGACGCACAACACCAGCAAAACTGGATGTCACCCTGGCCACTACGCAGCACACAGTCAGGGATCGGACCTGACCAACGTGCTGCACAGCGGCCAGAGCAACATCCGATTTCCCTGACGTTGGGCAGCCACTCCGGCGGGGCGGAAAATCGGGCCACTCCCCAGCGACGCCCGTGCGCCGCCAGTGAATAGCTCGAAATCCCGCCCCCACACCTCGGACGGTCGCGCCGCCCAATAGTGAACCGGTCCCGCCTGCCGCCCACGGTCTGAAATACAAGCAGTGAGTACCCGGCGAGCGCGTCGGTGGACCGGTCTGGAAGAGAAAGGATGAGTACCCAGCGAGCGCGCTGGTTGACCAGCCTGAAAGGCAAGGATATTGAGTACCCAGCTCAACCCGAAGGGCCTGGTGGGAGCCCTCACTCTGGGGAAATTAGCGCTGGGGTCGGTTTTCTTTTATACTCCAGCCACTTGCGTGCACGGACCGCGGCGTGTATTGCTTTGTTTTGGTCAGCCACTTGGGACCCAGGACTTGAGTTATGCACCTTGTTCGGCAAGCTGGCATGTGTTTCCCGCAAAACTTTGATTAGTGGCTGTGCAACGGCTTTTCCCGATGGAGTCCGAGAAGTTTGAGCGAAGTAGCACAAACTTCCACAAAGCGTCTGCCTACGGATGCTTTGTCTCTGCAGGGACTCGTTTTTCAAAATCACAAATTTTTCATGTAGAACTAGGATTGTCGTTGTCCCACCGATAGATTGCTGCCTCCTGACGAGATCTCAGTCCAAGGTGATTTGCCCCTCGTCCATCTCGTTCTGAAGGGCGATTAGGCCCGCAGTCCGCAGGGCGCTATGTAATGTTGCGTCGTCGTATTGCTCGAATAGACGAAGACTTTTCCTCAACGAGCCCGTCAACAGCCTGGGCCACAACACAAAGTCAACAAGCAAGCCGGTAGCGTAGATGCAATACTTACGATCTGAGGAAATAATGTACATAAAGACCGAGCGCGACGGCGCTTGGGGTGTATTAGGTGTATTTCTCATGTAAATTTCCGCTGGTCCAAGGTTCTTGGCTGAAAATCCAAGATAACAACAAAAATTAATAATTAGCCCACCGCGAGGGTCGAACTCGCAGCCTTCAGATTCCAAGTTGAAGAATCAACCCGCCTTAAAAGTCTGACGCTCTATCCGATTGAGCTAGGCGGGCGATGTCTGGAAGGGGAGGTGGCAACTCAGTACCCGTGGAATTCCTTCAGGACATATGTCCACCCTATCGCTGGGCATAAAGTGTCGAGCCAGCACCGGCGATTGTTCTTCAGCAAGTAACCCACAAGCATTCTGTCCGTCCGTGCACATCGCATGTCTGAAACATGAACTGCCGAGCTAGTCGGGCAAGTTCAGCAAGATCCAGAAACGCGCCGAGTCTTGAGTAGCTCGTCCCAAGCCAGCCACAGGGTCGCGCCACCGTCAAAAAGTCGCAAATGAACACCACGAAATGGAAATGAATTACACATGGTATACAAAATACAGAAATAACGAAAGCAATATCGAGGATCATAGATACAAATCAAACACCGACCCTGGACGAAAAAGTCAGCCAAGAAAACAAATCATGACCGAGCAGTAAAGTTCACCTATGCACTACTTTTTTCTGACCCGAGAACCGGATGACCTCGCTCTTCTCCATCACAAACAAGGTCCGCTCCAGTGCGTGACTCGAGTAACCCTGCTGAGTAACGAACTCTCGGACGAGACTTTGGTAGCTCGTACTCCAGCCAACAGGAAGCCGTCTCCGCAATTCCCGCTCTATCTTGACCATTTCTTCGTTCAGCTCCCCGCGGGAGAGACCATCAGCAGAACCGGCCGAGACTGCGTCCATTGTGGAGAACTTGAACAGGCGAATGGCCTCCTCGACATGGTGATTTTGAACGACGGTGGAGAGGGTCATCTTTGCCAGCGACTCTGAGATGCGGATGATGGCTTCAAGCTGTCTGTCGGTCGCGTTTCAGTCTGACGAAATAAAAAGGCTTCAAAACGACTCACCGCACAGTAATTGGGATGGAACTCCGCTCGTCGTTATCCCGCTCTACTTGCTGCACTTGCTTGCGCAAGCTGACAAAGTGACTGCTCAACATCTCCTGGGCCTCGGCGGACAACCGGGGTGCACATTTGCTGATCGGCGGCCGTTCAACGACAAAAGAGGCTCCCAGACGCGCAGGCGTACCTTTTGCAATACGCGATATACCGCTTCATGACGTCCAGGCTAAGCTCGTCAGCGGCCTTGTCGACGTTTTCCTCTGGCCGGTTCATGTGGGTATTCATGACGTGTCTGGCGATCATCTGAAAGAATTCAGCCTTTTATGACTGTCGAGAATATTTATCGACGCACCTTGTCTCGCTGTTCATTATGCTCATCCTTGACAATGAAAATCATGTCGAAACGCGACAAAATAGTCGTCTGGAAATCAATATTCTAAACGCCAGTCTCAGTAATACGATATAACAGCGGAGAGAAACCATCGTACCTCGCCAGGGCTTCTGCCCTCATCGTATCGACCGAAGACGGGATTTGCGGCTGCGAGCACACTGGTCCGGGAGTTCAAAACAGTCGTAATACCGGCCTTGGCGATGGATATAGTTTGCTGCTCCATGGCTTCGTGGATAGCGACGCGGTCTTCGTCTCGCATCTTGTCAAATTCGTCGATGCAGACCACGCCGGTATCAGCCAACACCATGGCACCTCCTTCAAGGTAAAACTCGCGCTATCAGACTCATCAGCGGGACATCAAACGAGAGATGATCTCTCAACGTACAGATACTGTGTCTCGCTGAACAGAAGCAGTGAGACCGGCGGCACTGGAACCTTTCCCAGAGGTATAAACGGCAATAGGTGCGACCTAGGTATCATGAGCATAAGATCTCGCGAGATGAATTGCTGAATCACCTTTTCGACAAACTTGAGCAGTTGACTTTTCGCTGTTCCGGGGTCACCCAATAAAAGAACATTAATGTCGCCTCGAAGTCTCATGCCGTCGGGTAGAATCTTTTTGGATCCTCCGAAAAGAAGACACGTTATTGCCTTTTTGATGTCTTCACATTCGTGTTAGAATAACGGTCAGTGAAACGGGGCAGAAAACATACCCAGACTGCCGTAGATACTTGGGCCAACACTTTTAGAAAATCGTTCGTAGAAACCTTCGCTTCTGGCCATCGCTCCGAATTCCTCTTCCTCTTCGGGTGTGAACTGAACGCCAAAGGGATTGGAACCGCCAGAACCGCCGGTGGGTCCTGAAGATAGTTCGAGGTGGACGACCCGTAGGTACGGTTGGCGAAGAGCTGCTGCGCCTGCATTTTTCTGGTGGGAATCAACGGCTGTCCAAGTTAATATTCAGAAGAACGCACATTCTTCGCGGACTGGAATGTCGAATAGATACCGGTTGCAACGACCCTCGATCCAGGAACAACTTTACCTGTCAAAGATCTGTCCACGACCAAAAGCATATGCCGGGGCAACTCTCCGACTGGCACCATATCGGGAGCTTCTTGCAGTTTGAGAGTTTGTTGATCCGCAAAAGTGGATTTGGAGTGAACGATAAGGTAGGGATCGAGCGGGCAGTCGACTTCCTTCTGCCGTTTACTCTCGGCCGCTGCTTCACAGTAACGCGGCAGCCCTCGATCCGAACCGCCGCCCACTCCGCCTATGCCACCAGCGACCTCAATGATCTTGGGATTTCCGCAGGAACGGCACTGGAGGTGCAACTTTGTTGCGCGGGAAGACAAGACTGAAGCGGAGATGACGATTCCTGGGATGCGCACGAGTTTGTTCATGGTGTTTGCGGCGAGATCGCGGAATTGCAGCAAGTTGAGGCCCGAGCGGATGGTTACTTGCATGCCAGGAATAGCCTCTGCAGCGTCTTCCGCGTTTTTCTTTTTTCGGCGTCCGATCTACCCACACCTACGAGTGGGAAGAGGATCGACCGCGCGGCTTTCGTGGCTGCACTCTCAAACTACGCGCAGAATGTGAGATTGGAACAGTTGGTGGCGCGAGTTTCACATACAGAGGGGAGGGTAACAGAAGGCGAGTCCTGAATCGCGTGCGCCAGCTCGTCGTTGTACAGGCTAAGGTGTCGGAGATCGACCTCAAGAATACATTGCTTCAAGAGCAGATTCGCCCGCAGTTTATCTCTGACGCGCCACTGTCAAACATGCACCCTGGAAACTCGCGAGTGTTCTCACCTGTAGATGAACTCGCCACCGAGGCGATACTGCAGCAGAAAGTCGAGAAGGAGTTTCTCGTTTCAGAGGGAGAGTCGGGAGAGATCGCTGGAGGAGGATCATGAGCAGCGACGGTGTAAACTGCGGGCGCGTCAAAGCCAGACATGGTGGTAGAAAGAAAGTGAACGCGACGTAAATGTGTGACCGACGCGCAGCACCGTGAGACATTAGCACAGCCCACCCGCGCCTGCCTCTTTATCGCGAACTCCATGGACGAACCCTCGGTGCTCTCCTCGTCCAACACCACCTCTGGGCTATCCCTTTCCTTGTACTTTATCCAGCACTATTCAGGGGCAACTCTGACTGTTTGTTGTTGCAGACACCCTCTCCCCATCTTGAACATCTCAGAACACTTGACGAGATTAAAATTCCAAACAACTCCAAGTCTCCTTTCGGTCTGGTTCTGACCCACTCGTTCAAACCTTTTCTAAATTGCATTGCAGTCTTGGGCGCTCTCTTGGGGACGCAGAATGGGCGCGAGGTAGAGATTGTTAACACTTTGAGCTTGCCGTCGAAGCCGGAGGTGAAATGGTCGACCATGGCTTCCTGGTCTCCAGACGCGATCAGTGTGAGCCCTCTCGATGCCACCACACCATCGTTCCACAACGATCCTTTCTTTCCAGACAAACAGGTGTTTCCCTCGCTAGAGTTCATCGGCTGGTACACTGTCGCCCCGCTACCAACCCCGCGCCACATCGCGTTGCACGAACAAGTGCGTGTCTCTCGTTCGCACCCGGATCCACGCAGCTAACCTTCCTCGCGTGTCCATCCAGTTTACGGGATACTGCTCAACGCCACTGCTCCTCATCCTGCAGCCCTCGATCACTCTCGTCGCAAGCTCCGATGTCAACGCCCAGACTCTGCCCTTCAAGGCATACGAGCCTACAATAGAACTCAGAGATCGCAAATCTCGATCGGTGTTCATCGAGGTCCATACAACGTCGAAACAGGCGAGGCTGAGCGTATTGCTGTAGACTGGACAGCGAGGGGTGGAGGGAGTGGGACCAGCTGTACGCACATTGCCTTATTAGCTTTGCTACACCCACAGTAGCTAATGGCACACGACAGTGGAGTCACATCTCCAAACCCAACGCGCGGCCGTGAAGATGCTCCACGACCGAATCATGGTCCTCGTCAAATACGTCTCAGAGGTCGTCGCGGGTAAGCACATCTTCCCACCGAAACGCACGTCGCCCGTCTAAGTCACCATCACAGGACAAGCGCCCAAAGACCACGCGACGCTGCGGTCACTTTCTGCGCTAATCGCGTCCCTGCCTGCCACCGAAAACAACGCGTTCCGCGACGAGTTCGAGACCGAGTATGAAGACGTGCAGCTCACCGCGTTCCTGTCGTCGTTGACAAAGTCTGCCAATATATTGAACGACGTCAGTGTTTTCTCTCGCCGCTCACACGAGCCACGTTTAATCCTCTCATTTCAGCTCGTGGACAAGCACCTTGTGATGACGAGCGGCGGGAACGAACGCGGGCCTGGTGGTCCACGGAGACGTGGAATGGGCATGGGAATGAATCGCGACAGGGACTGGGACCGCCATTGATTTGCGGCGGTCTGTCTCTTCCACTTTCACGCTGTCTGTCTACGCGTTTGCTGTATTTCTTTTGCACCTCTTGCAATCAACACAAAGCCCATATCTGCTTGGGAACAAATACAATGTAATAGTTGATACATATAAGTAAATAACGGCCTGCCTCTATAATTTAGGGATCGTCCATTAAGTTATGATGGCGGCTTGCCCTTCAAGCCATTCGAACTCGAAGGCCGCCGGAGGCTGTGAGCGCCGCTCTTGAGTTTCTTCCATAGACCAGGGGACGACGCGAGGAAGACATGCTGGACGATAGCGGCCCGCTAGGAGATCCAGGAGATGACCCGACGCTATGTGACCCGGGCACAGCAAGCGGCTTGGATGCGGATGG